GTTTATCAGCACAAATGTTTTCAACCATAATAAATATTTTAGCAGCAAATCAGCAAATTAGAATGATTTCTAAATTATCATGTGACACTGAAAATTCAGCTTCGCATCACAGAAATAAATTACATTTTAAAAATATATTACCATAAAAAAAAGTTTTACAGTTTTTTTTATTGTAATAATGTTTCACAGTATTACAGTTTTTACTGCATTTTTGATTGAATAAATGCAAACAATCAAATAAATATATTTGGTAAACACAAGAGACTGCTTTCAAAAATATTAAAAAAATATTACCAATCTCAATTTTTACCTGTAGTGTATTATATGGGGTATTATTAACATATTTGAAAATGTATATTTTCCACTGTTAAAGGCAAGTGAGAACAACTACTTCTGAAGGTTTAGAAAAATGCCATGCTTATTGACGAATGCAGATGCTTTTAAAATGGCAATTACTCGGCTGAGACATTGGTCTATCAATAATTCCAACACATGAAGTTCGTGTCTCGTATTCTCAATAATTGTTCATACTGGCATAGCAGAAAGCATTGAGAGATTCACTCAGAGCAACCAAGTTATGCGTTAAGGATATGAGTGAGGGGTGTATTCTGCGTTTGAAACACAACCTCTCCCGAGTGAATTTCAGTTCAGGGAGAATCACAGTAAATACACGTGGATCTGAGTCATGTCTTTGATTGGCGGCTCTCTATGATGTTCTAATTACATTACTTGTTCCAGATTTAACTTCATACAGACAGCACATAATCACCATCCCCTAATCTTATTAAAACAAAATTGTGTTAACTTTGCTTAATAAATACAAATTAACATTCTCTTTGCTGCAACATCATAAACACCAATTACTAACATAAACCCTTTCTTACATCACCTAGACTGGAAACATTGCATTTTTTGCATCAATTAACTGTGATTATGGAGCATAACCACAGTTTTGAGTTATGCAAAAATCCTCTTTGACAAGTGAAAAACTACTTTGACTTTTTTTTTTGCTTTATTATAAGTGTGTGGTCCACTTCACATGATGAGAATGGCTTAAAAGAGAGAGAGAGAGAGAGAAAGGTTTCTGTGCGAGTTTGTTTGTGTGGTACCCTGCTGATTCCCTCAGCTGTTGCTACTCTGGTGTGTAACAGTGGCCAGACACAGACGACACTCACTCAAGTCAGCGGAAGCACATCTCAGAACGGCATAATAAACCCGGCCTCATCAAACAGCCTCTCTATGAGAGAGCAGGGACTGATCCTGTTGCCTCGACAAAGACAGAAAATCAACATTCAAGCATGCAATTTATGCCGAGAGGAGATGTCTGCATACTTCACGGCGTACACAATACATGAAAATCACCACATTCATCCCACTAGAATATCTGACTGAAAACAGGTAATGGAGTGAAACTTCAAAAGGATATGGGGTTTCTTTCATGATCTGTCCATTTTAAGACCAAACCGTTTGAAAATATGAAAGATTAAATAATTTGCATACACATTGGGGTCCAAACATCTGAGAAAATTATTCTCTGAAATTTAAAAATTTTCATAATTTAATGAAACATTTTTCATTCGAATTATCAGCATAAAAATGAGTTTAATTTAAAAAAAATCTCAAAAAGCATCTATTTCGGTGGAAACATCTGATATTTTCTACAGAGTTCATACACTCAATGCCACAAATGTGCTTATTTGATTAGTGACCTAGAAATAGTGTCAGAAATATCCCTGCTGCATCCCATAATCCACTATTGGGAAATCTTAAACAGCTAAAATAATTATACACTACCATCTGTGCTTCGCTTTTGCAAAACAAGTACGCACATACTGAATATCTACTACAAAAAAAAGCATTTTTCACCATTGGCCTATATATCTGATCTTTAATTTGACAGACAGACCCCTTTTCTCATCTAATATCATTTCAGAGACCATGGCTGCATGGCATAGTGCCAATAATACCCTAAATTCTAGAACATAACATCATCAGTAGGATAACATCAGTGCATTATGACTCATTTCCACCAAGTGACCACAGCAGTGCATCAAGCTGTAAAAAAAAAACACGGCCATGTGTTTAATATTTTGCACAGTATTGAACAAACAGCACGGCGTGCGTAACAGAACAACAACACTGCACTAGCAAATCTGAGATGTTTAAAGCCTTCATCTTGCAGTTTTCCATTTCCTATAGGATCACATAATGGGGCCCTGCACACAGACCAGGATACTTCCACAGCAGCCGGATCCTGCCGCCTGTCCTAGTGTGTCATTGAAATTCTACAGGAATCACATTACGTCAGTATGGATAAAGACATAATCCACAATCAACATGACAAAATATCAGTGTTGACATCTTCAGTGCATGCACGTGCAATGTGTTAGTGATGGTTATGAATGCATAACTCCCTCTTTTAAGCAGTGTCACTTTACCTTGTAGATGTACCTTTCCGCACATCACATATACTGCATTTGAATGCCTCTGCACTGTTTTTGAAGGTGCAGACGCTACAGTCCCAAAATCCGTTGTCTGCAGAGGGCTTGGCTTGTCTTTTTGGCCTGCAAGATTTAAAGGGAGAACTGGTTAGGGTATTTAAATAGCATGCTGCACCCTAATTAGTGCAAGTGTCATCAAGTGCACTAATTCTACGTGCTGTATTCAGACGCCCGTCCTCCACAACCACACTATTGCACTCGCAATCTGACGATGTTGCATGCCTAAAGGGCAAACGGGCTTTAGCTGTTGAAAAAAGGCGAAGAAAAGATAAGAGAGGAGGCGTTTCCTAAATTCTCTTTGTCTAAAGCTGGATACCGGGAGTCAGGCAAGGCTCCGTGTCCGCCATGGCTGCGCTTTTTTCTGTTAAATCCGACCAGGAAAAATAAGTAGGCTTCAACCGCATCACGCGGCTATTCGCCAGTGTACACAAACGCGCAAAATGCTTCATGAAAAGACAGAGCGAATGTGATGTTTCTATACCTGGATGGGCTTTTCTTGTCGCCCATAATGGGAGAAACACCGTCTTCCAGAGGAGGGGCTTCTGTAATGTACAGTGTGAGCTCCAGACAGAGCTGCCGCTGCTGTTCTCGCACACTTGCACTCGCTGACCGCCGCAGCGCGAGGCGTCGCTCCGTCACGTGACCTCGTCCTGAGCCAATCACAACTTGCGCACGTTTAAAAGTCTAAATGTTTTATACAGACGTGTGCTCATTTGAAACTGTGAGTGATCATTGCAAAGGGCATAGCTTTACTGTAACTTATGAAGAAAAATAGCAACAATTAAAAAAAAAATGATGGCATGCTTCATAGGATATAGGGCCAGTCGCATAAACAAAGCCACTATGTTGAGACCGTGTCTTAATAAGAACTAGTTCGACCAACTAGTAGCTAGCCAAGAGGTAATCAGACTTACTTTTTTGGATTCAAATTAGACCATTCTCCCTTTTTTATAACTGACTTTTTAAGTAGTTATGACCAGTCTTATAGGAAAAAAAATTAGATGACTAACCTTTTAAGCGGTTTATGCAACCGGCCCAATTAAGTGGAGTCCAAATAAGTCTGAGACTACACTGAAAATTAAAAACTGGAAAATAAATCTAATTAAAACATGAAAAAAGGGAAAAGAAAGGTTTTGACACAAATTGAACAACAGACATCAAACCAGTAAATTTGTGACATTGATCTTGTGACTCCTTTGACTCCTGATAACGTTCGGGGTTCAGATACATGATTGCAAAGATACTATTTAAACTGAGCTGGATGTTGACATCACTGAATTCAACGATGAACTGTCTTTAACTGAAAAATTATTGTTTACTATTGTCATTTTGCATTATTGACACACTATTTTCCTAATTAATGCTGTTCAGTTGCTTTGACACAATCTGTATTGTTAAAAGCACTATATAAATAAAGGTGACTTGACTTGACTTGACTTGACTTTGCACAAAAGGTCAGATGTGCTTGCTTCCACTGAAACACAGGAAAAACTGACAGCAAAATCCCCATCAGGCACACACACTCATGTCTGGCGACATTACAAAGACTTCTTGTTTTATATTCAGATAGTTATAGACACCTTAACCCTAGCCCTCACAGAAAACATTCTGCATTTTTACAATTAAAAAAATAATAATAATAATTCTGAATGATTTATAAGCCTTTTGAAATATGGGGACACTCAAAATGTTCTCGTTGTAATACCTATGTCGTACCCATGTCATTATACACACACACACACACACACACACACACACACACACACACACACTTTATTGTAACAGAATTCAGATCTCATTTACAGTTTTAAAGAAGACACACAAGTTTAATGACACTTAATATTTGTATAAGCTCTATTTGTGGAATCACAAAGAAACAAATTACCAAAAGACTTTAAATCAAGGTTAGCAATAATAACTGACAGGAGAAGCCACTATTTTTTTAAATAATAAAAATATATTCGTCGTGCATACACTGCCTCCCTCTGGATAGCTTTTAATTTACAGTGCCTTGCAAATATATTCAGACATATTTAACCATTTTTCATTTTACTGAATTATGTATCTGTTCATGTTTACCACCCTGCTCTTCATTTCCCTATAATTACGCTCTGAGTTCTAAAATTCCTTTGTAATTATTCTGTAGTCATATTTTTAATTACATGGTATTGATAAGTGCTATTTAATGCAACCTCATAAGCAAGACATAAAAGATCAAAATCAACCAGAACTGTTTTATTATGCGTTTTCTGGACTGAAAAACCACTGCCTCTGCTTAAACAACTAAATATGAGTATGCATAAATGTTACTTGTAATTTTACCTTCAAAGTCTTTAAAAAAGTAGACATAAGCACAAGGGTTATAGATTAATATATAAATAAACAAACTTAGAAGAAATGATTCCTTGCTCGTCTATGGCGAATGAAGAGTTTTCATCAACGTGAGGACCTGGCGCATGCGCAGCAGCAACAGCCAGGCAGGTAGTGACGTCACCGGCGCCATATTAAAGACTTGCTGCTGTTTTCTCCGTGTCGCTGTTGCCATCTTTCTGTTTCCAGCTGGACTCAGAGAGACCAGAGAGTAGCAAACATACCTCCACAATGGAAATCGACACACTTCTGGGAGCATTTAGAGGTACCGCAAGCACCATCTGACCAATAATGGTTAATAGAAAAGGTTCGGTAAATTCGTTAGCTTGTAAGCTAAGCTAGGAACTCAAACTAGCAGCCGATGCTAGGCGCTGATCCTGCGGGAGAAACCGTTAAATATCAAGAGTAATCGATATCGGTTGGTTCTCCGCAGTACACAGAAAAAGTGTTTGAGTTGATATTGTTGATGTTCCCGGTCGGAAGTTGATAAAGTGCTCTGCAACCCAGGAACAGATAGAAAGCCGGTTAGCTCTGAGCTACACTGCTGTTACTATGTGAGCACTGAATACACTGGGTTTGTCGCTTATTTACCTTCAGAAACTTCTTACTTGCATGAACTTCGCTGCATAGTCAGCGAAAAAGTTTCTCGGGCGCTTATTTGTGTGGCTTAAACAAACGGATTATGGTATTAAAGTGGAGCCAAAGTTACTGAGTGATGCCTTGAAACTGTCATATATCATTGATGCTGATTTTGTTTATAAAGTCAAGGTATGAGAATGTATACAAAGTTTTTTAAATATCAATAATTCAGTTTTCCTCCATTGACCGTATTTTAAATTCTTCAATTCAATGTCTGCAGCAAAAATTTCGATTTCAAAGTGCTGCATTGGCATTCTTCATACAAAATCGCTTAAGCGTGAATGCACATTAAAAGCAATAACAATACAATAAGGTGCCATTAGTCTTATTAAACAGAATGTGCGATATAATAAAAGGAAATTTCCACAAGAAGCATTATTATTTTCTTTGTCGTTCACTGTAGATTTCGAGAAGAAAGGAGAAAAGGAAACCTGCCCAATTTTGGATCAGTTTCTATTGCATGTTGCAAAAACAGGAGAGACCATGTAAGTTCAGCACTCTCAGACAAATTCTACAACAGATGCTGTTGTTGAGGGAATATTGCTTTTATAGGAAAGTACTTTCAAGGACACTAGTCTGGTTTAATCCTCAGAATAAAAAAGGTAATTGTGACTTTTCATCACATAATTGACTGTATTTCTCATAATTCTGAGTGCATTTCTCAAAATTGTTTTTCTTTTTCTTTTTTGAGTATATCTTGTGATTTTGACCTTTTAACATCTTGCAATTCTGATTTTATTTATGAGTTGCAAATTTATATTGAAAGGACATGCATGGATCATAAAATGTATTCTGTGAACAAAATGTTCATTTCATGAATTTAATATGTGAATTTGACACTTTGTGCATAAATATGGAAATGAAATAAAATGTATACAAACATTTAGTGATCCAGACAGACCCTTTTATCCACAAAACAATCGCACTGATTGTGAATTCAGAGAAAAAACATCAGAACACAAAGTCAGAATTGTGTGATTAAAAAGTCATGAGTACCTTTTTTTCGCCCCCGAGGCAGAAATGGTCTTCTATAGGGCTTCTTGAAACCACTAAACAAACTAGATTTGTTTACCCTGAGTGGATGGTTGCCGGGCGAGTATGTTTTATTAAAAAGGTGTATACTGAGTTTGATTCTCCAATGTCATTGTTTTAGGCCTAGTTTCACAGACAGGATTTAGATTAAGCCAGGATTAAGCCGTAATTTGGACATTTAAATAGTTTTTTTAAAGGGGTCATATGACAAGGTGTGCTCTGATTGGCCAGCTATCCAGTGCGTTATGATTGGCTGAATACCTCAAGCGTGTGACAGAAATGTTACGCCCCTTACCATACTGTGATGCCGTGTACTCCACGACATGGCGGCGGCAGCAACAATACTACAGCGAGAATAAAAGTTACGCCTTCCTTCTTTGCGTGAGCATTTGGGCGGCGCTGTGCAAATCTTCCCACATAGTGATGTAGACATGTGGGGGCGTGTTTAAACGAGGCATTTTAGGAGGGCGTGGTTAACTCTTTTATAAAGAATGTCTCTTTGGGTTTGAGACTTTTGTCTTTGCAACTTTAGGGATCTTATCTATGCACGAACAGCTTGTAACACTCCAAAGAGAAAGGAAAACTTGAAATTGCATCATATGACCCCTTTAAGGTCACCATGAAATCAATCTGCAATTCTTATTTTTTATGGAATATTTGCAGTGTTATTATAAATGGTTTAACCGTGCCCATCAATATTTTTTTGTCACTGTCACTCACAGGAGATCGCAGCAATTCGCAAACGATGGACATAATCCTGTTGAACAAATTCACAAAATCCTGCCCTATATTTTCTCTCATTCAAGAAGCTGTTACACCCTTGGATATACGTCACAATAGAGAAGAAAAGATGATCGCAATTTCCTTTTCATGCTGACTTTAAAAGCAATTTTTGCCTATTCAGAGTGTGCTGTTTGTGTAAACAATTACAATAAACTTTAAATGTGAAGTTTCTCATTTCCATGATTCTATTTCATCATAATTATCTTCATTTTAAATCATTCTTTTCTAAATCATCAGGATTCAGTGGTCTCAGTTTAAAGGTTACTTCCTCTTTAAACTGGAGAAAGTGATGGATGATTTTAAAGCCTCATGTCCAGAGCAACGGGGACCTGCCAATCCAAACGTTGAGTACATTCCCTTTGAGGAGATGAAGCAGAGGATTCTCAAAATCGTCAATGGATACAACGGGTAAGGTTCAACAAACATATTCCATAGACCCTTTGTGAAAATATTTAAATTAAAATATATGTATTTTTTTTTCAGGATTCCTTTCACCATTCAGCGTCTTTGTGAGCTTCTTACTGAGCCAAGAAGAAACTACACAGGAACAGACAAGTTCCTCAGGGGTATGGAGAAGGTATGTTGTGTTCAAGGAAATAAGCAATTCTTTGCGAATGGATTTTATTTGTGCCTTGTTTTCTGAAGGTCTTAAAGCAGCTACTGTCTCTGCTCAGTTAAAATGAAATATTTGTCTTTTTTAGAATGTGATGGTGGTCAGTTGTGTGTATCCTACCTCAGAGTGAGTTAAACTCTTTTTCTGCTCTGTTTTACCGTTTTGTGATTGGGCAGATTTCAGTACCATTTTTTAGTGATGCTTAGAATGTGTTCAAAAACCGTTCTGATGTTCTTAATACTTTAATTCATCTTTTACTTTTAAAGGAAAAAAGTGTCAGGTTGTGTGAACAGAATGAATGGTGTCATGTTCCCTGGCAACACTTCAGCGTTTCCAGATAGGTGAGTTTATCACTTTAACCAGCATTGTAGAAACTTTAATAATAGCCTCATGGGTCACTAAACGGATTCAGTAATTGAACCGATTCAGTTTGAAATGTTCATGCTCCCTGTAAAGAGAGACTAGTTGGACCTAATTTTACTGTCCGTTGGCTTGATGTGTCTTTGATTGTCTGTGATAGAAATGTGAATGGTCCAGGAACACCCAGGCCACTGAACAGACCAAAACTCTCCCTGTCCAGCAGTGTAGCTACCAACGGTCTTCCTGACAGCACAGAAAGCAAAGAACAAGCATCAGAGCAATCAGACAGAACAGTCAAGTAAGTCTGAAAGGCCAGGATGTGACACTCTTGTTCAAACCATGTAGCCCTACTGTTGATGAATGCAGTTTTTCTTTTTTGTTTGTATTCACTACTCAAGCATTTTTGGAAGAACTCATTGGTCTTCACTGCTGTTATTTTACATATCTACATTTTTCACTTTTTTTTGCATAAATTGCAGAAAGTGTCATGCAATAAATTCAGTTTACAAGTGATTTAGCACATTTCATCATTTCTCATTTCATTTAAAGCTCCTCATTGACACTGTTGTCTCCTTGGTAAAGAAGTACTTTAGCTTTTTTTGGGGGGGGGGAATTGTGACCCTTTTTCTGAAGTGACACCACAATTTATTGATAATTTTCACATAATGAATATTAAAATGGTTTATTTCACTCTTTGTTTAGATTACTATAGTTTAAAGGGGTCATATGATGCTGCTAAAAAGAACATTATGTTGTGTATTTAGTGTAATGCAATGTGTTTATGCGGTTTAAGGTTAAAAAAACATTATTTTTCACATAATGTACATTATTGTTTCTCCTCT